ATATATATATATATATATATATATATATATATATGCACGCACGCTCATACGTTTAAATCAATGAATGAATTTTAACTTGTTTGCTTACTTATTCCAATATTTACCCCTAAAGTAAATAATATTTTAAATAATTTAATTAAATATCTTTTGTTATGTCTAAAATATCATGACTACTATCAATTATGTCTCTAAAAAATTATTAGAAAAATGTGAAATATGTAGGTATATAAAAATCATATGATTTGGTAAATTAGAAAAATATTTAATGAAAATTACAAATTTTTAAAAGCCACTAAACAAAAGATGATAATATCAGAAAATTTTGATAATAACCCTCTGCATTCTAACATTTATCTTGCATAGGCTTATCAGTTTTACATTTATTTCGCATGCATTTTCTCATTTTACATAAAAAACTTGCTCATTCTGCTAGTTTGAGCACGATTTCTGTCCGCTCACTGTTAGAGTGCGGTGAAATACGCTTTCAGATTTGTGTGTTGAAATACGCTTTCATAACACGAGCCAGCGGACCAATTTGATAATCGGCACATCCTGGTGCTTCTCGTTATTATAAGTTCTCTGACGGTGACAATTGCATTTCATCTTTGGCTTTTGATAGACAGTAGAAGAAAAAATTGTTGTCTAAACATTTTCGCATAATTTTCCGGCGTAAATCTTATTATTAAGTAAATAAACTATTTTGTGGTTTTAAATATTTTACAACCAACCTTTAGGTGCGCTGAAAACCGGTACAAATAAAATATTTGTACAGAGCCTCCGTAAAACCAGAGGATACGTAACGATTAGTACCGTTGTGGACCAGCAGCAACAGCAAAGTATTGTCGAAAAAACCAAACCGGAGCAGCAGCAGCAGGCAGGAGAAGCAATGGCATCAAACAATGATAGTGGTATCGTTGAAGCTACTTTTCCAACCATTTCATTGGTGCCTAAATCAGAAACTGGTGTATTGAATTTCTTGCAAAAGTATCCCGACTACGATGGGCGTGACACGGTGATCGCCATTTTCGATTCAGGTGTAGATCCGCGTGCTTCAGGATTGGAGGTGAGGTTTTTTAAATTTAATTTAATTTTATTTTTGTTCTTTTACATGAAAAAACATTTATTTAATAAAATCAAACTATTTTTCTTCAATATGTTATTTTTATAAGACAATCTGTGATGGTAAAACTGTGAAGGTGATCGAGCGTTATGACTGCACGGGTTGTGGTGACGTGGATGTTTCGAAAAAAGTCAAAGCTACTGAAAAAGGTTTCATCACTGGATTGTCGGGTCGTCAATTGAAAGTAAGTTCGCATAAAGAGCATATGTTATCACCAACTTAACTTACTGTTATTCTATCTGTTAAACTTAAAGCAATGCATTTAAACATTTTTTAATCATATCAATAAACATATATTAAATTTAGATATGAAAATCTATAAAGACAATTATATAAACAGTGGGTTAAAAAATACTACTAAATTTGTGTACACAAGTTGTAGCGTACAATTACCTACCCGCAAAATTTCTCATGATTAAGCACTTTAATATAATTTATTTGCGTATCATAAATAATTATATACACCAACAACACATATGTAAGTGCATATAGATTATATCAGCCGTCTATTGCATACAATATTCATACGCTTACACAAGGCTGTCTTTGTTTTGATTGTTTACCTTGGTATGTGCATATTAGTGATTTTACTTATCTTTTTTTATCTTGTTCAATATTGTAGTTGACACCCGAAATGACTGCTTCCAACACTGCCAACGGCGAGTATCGTATAGGTTTGAAAACTTTGCACGACTTGTGCCCATCGAAGGTGCGGGAAAACATAATCAATTATAACAAAACAAAATATTGGGATGGTCCGAATAAAACTGCAATAGCCGGAGTAACGCGTAAAATCGTTGAATTTGAGTCGCAGAATACAGGTGTGTAAAATGTATTATTTTTTTTTTTTTTTTTTTTTTTTATTTATCTTTAATAAACTTTATTCTTTTGCAGATTTAACAAAGTTACCATGGGATAAGAAATTGTTGAAAGAAGATCTAGATTACACATTGGATATGTTAAACAGTTATGATAAAATGTATAAGGAGTTCAAAACATCATATGATTGCATTTTGTATCAAACTTCAAGCGGTTGGCGTGCGGTTGTGGATACCACGGAAAAGGTTTCACCTAATTGTTTAGTAAATTTCGCTATAATACTTAATTTTGTTTTTTAATAAAAAATACAGGGTGATTTGGAACAAGCTGTGCATATTGGCGAGTATTCGAAAACACGTGAAATTAAAAATGTAGACGATTTCTTTTCAATCTCAATCAATGTACATGACAATGGTGATGTACTCGAAATTGTGGGCATGTGTTGTAAGTTTTTGTTGTTCATTTTTTTTTTTTTGTTGAATTTGTAAAAAAACTTTCTCGATAATTGCAGCTTCTCATGGCACACATGTCGCTTCGATTGCCAGTGGGAATCATGCATCTAAAGATGTTGATGGTGTTGCGCCGAATGCACGTATTGTTTCGCTTACCATTGGCGATGGTCGCTTGGGCTCAATGGAGACGGGTACCGCGTTGGTGCGTGCTATGATGAAAGTTATGGAATTATGTCGCAACGGTACAAAAATCGATGTAATCAATATGAGTTATGGCGAACATGCTCACTGGTCGAACACTGGGTGAGTTACTAAATAGTTAGGCGTATGAAGTATTCATATTGTATATAATTCTAGTTAGTTTGTAATAATATTAAGTATTATTTCTCTAAATTATATGTAAACGAATCTACTTTGAAATTCTATATAACTCAATACAATTAAAATGTGAAAGAAATGAATGTGAAAATCCTTTGGTTGTTGATAAGAAACGGAAAAGGAAACGAAAAGCCTATATGAGGTAATATATTTCCAGCCTTTTCTTTAATTGTTCGCCGTGTTAAAATAATTTTTGATTAACTTTTTTTTTGCATAATTGTGATTAACAAAAGTGCATATGCGAGTAGCCATAAATACTACCAAAAAAAAAAAATTTCAAAGTAAATTCACCTACCTATAAATATATAGTTGTATTGTATTTGAGTTACTCTACTTTTTAATTGGTTTCTGAATTCTTTAGAAATATACAAATTCTGTTAACTAATTTTTTTTATTAACTATTATTTTTTTAATTTTCATAGTTAAATAATACATAATATTTGAATGTAAACTCTCTAATATTCGTCAAATAATTTTAACTGCAATTGTTTTTCGTTATCACCCAGTCGCATTGGCGAATTGATGAGCGAAGTTGTGAACAAATATGGTGTTGTATGGGTGGCATCAGCTGGCAATCATGGTCCTGCTTTGGCTACTGTTGGCACGCCACCAGATATTGCACAACCCAGCTGTATTGGTATGTCAAAACTATTATTCAAATTAGGAAAAAATATGTAGTTGTACAATACCTTTCTAGGTGTCGGCGCTTATGTCTCACCCCAAATGATGGAGGCCGAATATGTAATGCGTGAAAAACTGCCTGGCAATGTTTATACTTGGTCATCACGCGACCCATGCATTGATGGCGGTCAAGGTGTAACGGTGTGTGCCCCAGGTGGCGCCATCACTTCCGTGCCACAATTCACGATGAGCAAATCCCAATTGATGAACGGCACCAGCATGGCTGCACCACATGTTGCAGGCGCAATTTGTATGTGAAAGCATCATTACTCATCTCAAAATCTTTTTATAACAATTTTAAATTTTTTTTTTTTTGATATTTTTAATCGCAGCTCTTTTGATTTCCGCACTCAAGCAAAAAGGCATTAAATATTCACCTTACAGTATTAAACGCGCACTGACTAATACTGCGACCAAATTGAGTTATGTCGATCCATTTGCACAGGGCAGTGGCTTGTTGAATGTCGAAAAGGCATTCGAGTATTTGACGCAGCACGAGAATGCGCCTGAAAATATGCTGCGGTATTGCTCATTTATCTTGCTACATTTTCAAATTTTGTAATGTGTGTTTTCTTCGCAGATTCTCAGTACGTTGTGGCGCGCAAGCGGCCAAAGGTATACATATACGCCAAGGTATACTGAAGAAGCCAATGGAATTTGATGTGACCATCGAGCCGATTTTCTTTAATGAACTGGAAACTGGTTAGTTGCGTTGGAAAAGGTTTATTTAAATTGTTACTATCTAAAATGTATTTGCATACTTTCAGAACCGCATCAAAAATTCAATTTCAATGTTCGCTTAAATTTAATATCTTCCAAACCGTTTGTGCAATGTGGCTCCTTCCTTGATTTGAGTTATTCCGCACGTTCGTTGTGTGTGAAGGTTGATCCTACTGGTCTGGAGCCAGGAGTGCATACGGCACTGTAAGTGTTGAACCGCAAAATACAAACAAGATTTATTGAAAATTTAATATTTTATTATAATTTACATTAAATTTTTTATACGGCAGTAAGAAATTAAAACCTTTCCACATATTTACATATTCCAGTATTTCCGCTTATGACACCAACTGCGTTCAAAAAGGCTCACTTTTCGAAATACCCGTCACTGTCGTCCAACCGCATGTTCTCGATAGCAATGAATCTTTGACTTTCGAATGCAAGTCAACCAGAAATGATGGCAGCATTGAATTCCAACCGAATACCATACAAAGAGATTTCATTTTAGTACCAAGTCGTGCTACATGGGCCGGTGAGTAGTTGAAAAGTAATTTTAAAATCAAAAATTCCCCACAAAGCAGAGAGTGATTATGTATTTAATAGCGCAATATCGTAATAGAGGGAAAAGCGACGTTCCAAATAGGAAACCGAGCTATTGTAGAATGCTCAAAGCATGACTATAGTTCGAAAAAGGGTTCAGTGAATTTTCATGTTGCTTATTTGGTGAACGTAGATGAACTGTTTAGTGGATGGTAAAGTGGCTTCCGATTAGATACTGCGGATACTAAGCTGTTCATTTGAGATGCGATTTCGAGATGAAAAGCAGAGCCCTCGGATAACTGTATACCTTTTTTTTCTTCTCGCAGCCACTCTTGAGGAGCTTACCTGGACTGAACTAACAAGATTATATAATGCATAATTCTTTGCTGTGTAAGCAGTTCCTATTGGGATGCCACCACAGGGATCACCCCAATAGGCACCTAATAGAATCTGAACCTCCACCTAGGCACGTCAGAAGGGAGTACTAAATTTAAAGGACACTATTCAGCAACATGTGCAACAACCGCTGGGCAGAACGGCGTACAGACAAACACTGAACGCCATTCACCAGGAGTCAGTCGACACTTTCAGAGAGTCCCTTCCAGTGAATTACGTGTTCGGAGAAAAATCACCTCTCATAGCAGACAACGAGCTCGAGTTACCTCGAGAGACTCGCGCGACCTTGGCAGGTTAAACTCCTGCTTATCCAGACTCGACCCCAACATATCCAACATATGCCCTGCATGTGGAGAGTCTCCGCACGACACTAACCTCTTCACATGCACCCTTATACCAACTCGGCCTCTTAAATTAATCAAACGCCGACTTAGATTAATCAAACCTGTACTTAAGCGAGGTTAGCGAACCGCTATAATAACAACAACACGCCATACCCACTACGGGATTGGGATTCCAAAGCCTTCCCGCGGTAAGACATGCCTGTCGTAAGATGCGACTGAAATCCAAAAGTTGCGGGTCAGTCGGGGCTGTCACTCACGCAACATTTCCCAAAAACAACTTTGGCGAATATTTTCTTTGCGGCTACAATAATAAGAAAAATCCCTTTTACATAGAGTCCGTCAATACCGAATCTCTCTCTCTCTCTCTCTCTCTGCCACCACGCATAGCATACGAAGAGTTCAAGAGCTCATTATCTGTACACTGAAACCTACTCGTCTAACACTCCTCTCCCTCTGGACCGAATCCGTTAAGACATCTCGTTTCCTGTATTTCCCGTTACCTGTGACTTCGGCCTCATATACTGACTTTGCTTGCACCAAGGCGTGTTGAGAAAGCTGCTACAACAAGAATCATTACAAAACACGGCTGCTGGCCACGACTTTGTTCTTTTTTTTACCTTAATAACTGACAAATGTTTCCATCTCTCGTCTCATGAAATTAACTATCTCTTCGATCTGTCCTAGGCTATGATCGTGATCGCAATTGCTTTCGAATTATCTGAAGATTTTGGTTTTTTCCAGAGAATTCAGACGTTGCAGCCCCTCCGGAGCCAGGTGCTCAGTAATAATTTTAATTTAATTTTACTACCCCCTGCGGGTTAGGGGCTCAAGAATTTACCCGCGGTAAGGCATGCCTGTCGTAAGAGGCGACTAAAATCCAATAGTTCCCGCGACAGTCGGGTCTTTATACCGGAACGACCCGGATTTTTATCCGGCCAAGGACTGTCATTCCCGCAATATTCCCCAAAAAGTACTTTGGGGAATAATTTTGCGGTTGCAACAACAACAACGACATTTAATTTTACTTGCTTTTTTATTTTCAGTGCTCCGAATGCGTTCTACTGATAAAAATCGTGAGAATGGTATTGGCAAATTTTTCATTCACACAATGCAACTGCTGCCCAAACTATACTGTCGCGTAATGGAGAATATGAAAATTTTGGGTGTGAATTCTGAAAATGAGGCCACTCTGCATTTCTTGTGTGAGGTAAGACGGTGTCGTTGAATGTTTTTTTTTTTATTTTCTTTATTAATTTCGTTATTTAATTAATACTCCACGCTATAGGGTGACATCATACTTGAGCTCTGCATAGCCAAGTATTGGTCCAATTATGGCACAACTCATATCAAATATAGTCTGGAATTTCACGGTATACAAGCCATCAATACCAATCCATGTGAGTTATTCTTCTTTTATGCGCCTTCTTGGCACTTGGTATTGTTTGCTTTACCTTTTTTATATTCGCGATTTTTTTTAACTTCAATCCCCTAGATATGATGCAGGCGGCACGTGGCATTCATAAACTCGACTTTGTCGCTTTGAAAAGCGAAGATCTACAACCACAAATTCAGCTGAAAACTGCCGCTGTAGTGTTGCGTCCGACTGAGGCGAAAATTACGCCACTCAGTGCCACGCGTGACGTCATACCCGATGGTCGGCAAATCTATCAAATTCTCTTCACATACACACTCCAAGTACCCAAGTTACAGGAGGTCGCGGTCTACGCACCGCTTTTCAACTCACTGCTATACGAGTCCGAATTCGAATCGCAACTTTGGATGATGTTCGATTCGAATAAAGCGATGGCCTGTTGCGGTGATGCACATTCACACAAAGTCTTCAACAAATTGGATAAGGGTGAATATACGATTAAGTTGCAAGTGCGACATGAAAAGCGTGATTTACTGGAAAAATTGTCTGAAACCAATATGATTGCGCTTTTCAAGTTGGCGAATACCATCAGCATGGAGTTCTATGATCATTATAACAGTTGTTTGACCGGCAAGCGTAAGTTTACCACTTGCGTTGTGAAGAGTACACCAGCCAAGGTGCTCTATGTACCGCCATTGCCGCAAGAGAAATTAACCAAAGCCAATTTACCAGCGAACTGCTCATGGCTAAATGGTACAATAGCCCTGTCCAAGGATGATGCGGTGCGTCGTGTTGATTCATATGACTTTACCTACTTTTTAATAACGGCCGAAAAGAAGAATGGCAACGGCGGCTCTGCCGGTAATTCAGGTACTGGCAGTGGGGCAGCAAATTCGTCCAAGTCAAAGACAAATTTAACTGCTAACAATGGTGTATCAGCAGCCATCAATACGCTAAGCGCATTAAATACTGCGACTGGCGATACTGCAGCGGCTTCGGGTGATGGCGCGGCAACGGTGGGCGTTAGTACGACTGCAAATGGCGGCAGCTCGTCGCCTAAGAAGAAAATCAGCACTGATGAGTATGCGGAGGGATTGCGCGACTTCCAATGCATGATGATTTCTAAGTGTGGTGCGTAGGCTGTGAAAACGAATTGTTATATTGTTGTTGTTATGAAATGCTAATTATAAGATTGTTTCCTTTTCGTTTATAGAGGTCAGCGTAGCCGAAGACATTTACGAAAAAGTGATCGCAGCGCATCCCAAACATTCTGTAGCACATATCCTACTCATGCAAAATATAGAATCCAATGAGTATAAACAACTGCTGCCATTCACCTTCGCCAAAATGGTAAATGCAAATGTGGACGAAGAGAGTCACAAGGAGGAGCTCGCCAGAATTCGCAAGGCGCTAGAGCGTGTGGCGCAATTGGGCGGTAATGTCATAAACGACATGAAGGATGAATATGATGAGTTGCTGGCCTATTATGGGCTCAAGAGTGATACCCGTCCAGATGCCGCGAAAATTAAGACGTGAGTGAAAGATTTTTCAAAAAAAAGTTGAAATACAAACCATTTTACTTATATTTTTTTCAATTTAATTAATTTTTTTTTTTTTTAAATTAAATTTTATTTTTAATTAATTTTTTTTTTTTATTTAAATTAAATTTTTTTTTTAATTAAATTTTTTTTCTAAATTAAATTTTTTTTAAATTAAATTTTTTTTAAATTAAATTTTACTTTTTTCAATTTAATTTAATTTTTTAAATATAATTAATTTTTTTTTAAACTTAATTTATTTTTTTTTTTTATTTATTTTTATATTTTTAATCTAATTTTATTTTTTTTTTAATTCAATTTAATTTTATTTTTATTTTATTTAATTATGTTTTATTTATAAAAATTTTTTAATTTATTTAATAAATTTTTATTTATAAAAACTTTTTAATTTATTTTATTTTTTTTAATTTATTTTTTTTTTTAATTTATTTTTTATAAATTTTTTTCAATTTTATTAAATACGAGTATTATTTTTTAATTTTATTAATATTTTAACATTGTTAATTTAATTTTTTTTTTTAATTATTTTTTTTTTATTTTCCTTATTTTTTATATATTTTTATTTATTAATTTTTATTTTCTTTTCTTTATTTTTTTATATATTTTTTATTTTCTTTTCTTTATTTTTTTATATATTTCTTATTTTCTTTTCTTTATTTTTTATATATTTTTTATATTTTTATATATTTTTTATATATTTTTTATATATTTTTTATATATTTTTTATATATTTTTTATATATTTCGCTTTTTTAACTTTTTTTTTATTTTTATTTTTCAATTTATTTTTTTACGCTCTTAGTACTATGGATAAGAAGAAGACAAATTTGTTGGAGGCGCTAACAAGAAGAGGCATTGCCAAAATTAAAATCAGCATTATCGATGGCAATATGAAGGAACGCTTGGATGAGTTCAGGGATATTTATGTTGAAGTTATTAAATTGTCTGACCCCTTAGATGCTAAGGTAAGTCAAAAAAAAATAATCTTATATCGTTTATAAACACTTTTAACATCTTCTCTCTGCACGTAGCTCTTATTATTATCCCTCTGGCATGCTTATGCGAATGCACATTATGGTCGCATGCATAAAATCCTGCAAAAAATGTACGAAGAAAAGCGTCACCGCGAATTACAAGAAGAATTCTATTTGGTCGCTGGCGCTCTGGAATATGGACATCTGCAGACAGTCGTCCAACGTAATACGGTAACCTCATATCCGAATAGCTTCCGTGTATTTTAATGAGTGAAATGCGAAAATCATATGAACGTACATATATAGACAAAAAAAAAGTAAAAAAAAATGCCACTAGAGTGGGTCGTAAGTAACCTGCTCTAAACAGACAGACGCGTGCGCACATCATAAATCAATAATGTTAAATTAATTAAAGAAATAAAATAAATATTAAAAAATATACATCGTCAACTTATACATACACAAACATATATATATATATACATATAGCTCACTTGTTTCTCAATCTAATATATGTACTGTATAAGCGTAGCATTCATAAGAGAGTGTGTATTAAGTTGTTTTCCGTTTAAATGAAACTGTTCTTCAGCACTTGTATTGTAATCGTAATACTGACATATGTATGTAGCTCATGAAGTTGTAAGCTCCTCCAAACTTCAAAAAGAAAAATTAAAACAATTTTTATTACTACACTTCCTTCTGTGTTTTTATTTATTCATTATTTTTTTCGGTAGAAGAAGTAGATGGCGGCCGCAGTAGCCGCGTGGATGTTTTTTTTTTTCTTAGAAGACTAGTCCGTCTCGATGAAACGTTCATAATCCGAGATGTGCGAGAGTGATGCGTGGGTCTTACGTGTTGCTGCTATGTAATCCACTGCCTGGGTTGCCGCACGTTGGTGGTTATTGTTGATGTTGTTGCAGCGCCTTTACCAACCCTGCTTTGGAACAGGCTAGTTATTCCAAGTCACCGAGGTTATCTAACGGGAGGTACAGGGAACGTGGTGTTTCGAAGGTATCGGACCAAAGGGACTGACGAACTATGGTATGACGCACAGGACAGACTGTGCGGCACATTAGGAGCTCCTAGGAAACGATGGAGTTGGATGTGGGTTGAGGTGATGCTGTAGTTGCGCGTTGGGTTCAACGCCGGTCCTCGTAGAGGGGGGTTGCTTCGTTGATGCATTTAGAATAGAATTACCTGTTGAGCTAAACGGGACTATATCGCCGAAAGCGTGATAGTCCTTGGCCGAATAAAATCCCGGTCATCTCCGGTGTGTAGAACCGACTACATTTTGTTGTTGTTGTAACCGCAAAAACATTGCGGGAGTTACAGTTCTGGTATAAATGCCCATCTAGTCGCCTCTTACGATAGGCATGCCTTACCACGGGTGAATCCTTTAACCCCTAAGCCGCAGGGGGAACCGACTATAGTTGCAGTTGGGGCCAAGTGCATAGCAGTGCCTGCTGCCATGCGGAGAATCATGGATTAATTAAAAATTTGCAGTCATTCACGGCAGGAAATTTCAACGCCTCCGTATGAAGTTCTTACAAGAAAAAAAAAATAAAAACATTCACCGAATTCTTATAAAGTCTATATTTGGATTTTAATGAATTTCTAAATCTGTAGTCCACAAGGTGGCGCAGCATTTTGAGTTTCCAGACTGCCAAACTGCTGAGAAAATTCAGAGTATGTAAAGATGGTGCACGAGACAACCCAGTCGACGACGATGGCATAGACAAGACTTTGATCTAGTTCGAAAATCGCTGCCCATTTGAAGAAAAGAAAGCCGCGGAAGCCATTGGCTTTGCAGATGACACATTCAACATTCACCAGACATTAAAGATCGCCACACACCAGCTTATCGTCGATTTTAAAGCAGACTTCGGCAGAGAGACTGGTAGTGAAGGACAAAACAACTCCTCAACCAAACAAGCAACTTTGACTCCCATGCTACTTTGACAGTCATAATTTGGATATTGTAGACAATTTCGTCTATCTTGGAACCAGTATAAGCACCAATTACAATGTCAGCCCTGAAAACCAATAAAGAACCGAACAAAGACAAAACTCTACCAGTTGCCGTTTATTCCCGCCCAGCTATGAGTTGCAGAAGCGTGGACGTTCCGTATAACCGATGACACGACTTTGAAAGGCTTCGAGAAAATAGCTTTACAATTTTTGTCCTCCACGCCAAATAGCGCAGACGGTGGAATGCTAACCTGTATGAGATATACGAGCGAGTTAGGTTATGCCATCCGGATGGAGGAAAACTCTGCCGTTCTAAAAGTGGAAGAGATTGTGGTTTCCCCAAAGCAGAGAAAGTAGGAAAATGATAACACGGTCTCAATACTTAACAGAGCCATATCTTGAAGTTTATAAGAAGTCAATCAGCAAATTTTTCAACTCTCTTCCTATAAATAATATCATTGGAATCCGACTACTATCGACGAAGTAAACGAATTGCACCCGAAAACCAAAATAATTCTGCATAATGTAGCAGAATTAACTCTTTGTCCTACAGACGTGTCCAGCATACGATTAGTTTTCGTCCGATAATGAGCACCTCTTTGCAAGCCGACACATCTAACACGCTGCTCCTTTCCTTTTGGCCCGAGACCGTTGTAATAACTTATTTCCTGATGCTAGATGGCCTCGGAGAAGTCGACTAGGGTTTCGCTACTAATCGCTGTTACCTAGACCATGCAACAGCAACATATAGCCATATTACCATTAAAGGAGCACGACCAAGGCCAATTAAGCTAATATCCAAAGCAAAATCAAATCCTGCTTATACAGACTCGTTGACACGATCTATCTACCAACTCTCCTGCTTTGGTCGGAGCACATCGAGAATGATCATTTCCTGGGTCTCATGTTAATTGAGCTCTACAACAAAAAAAGCACTTTAGTGTCCCGAAAAAAAAAATCCTTCACCTTCTTCGCGACCTTCTTATATGAAAATTGGTTGTAATGGAAACTGCAGCAAAGCTATCATCCACCCAGCTTGTGTCCTTTTCACCACCTCTCAGATGTACTCATGTGAGGCCATCTGATAGCTCAGAATAGTACAAATTTAAAACCGGTTTCTAGTCGGAGCAGCACAGTTCTTTTGCTACTAAGCACGGGCACCTGTGACACCTGTGTATTCTGCTCAAACTCGAGCCAAACTCATCCACAAATCTCATTAAATGGATAGCTTTGTACTTGGAGTGAACGTGAGCTACCCTTTTTCTGCTCGCAAGTCTCTATAGATCTTCCAAAGTGATCGACTGGTGTAAAGAGTCTAGGTTAATACAAGAAGTCTAATATCGCAAGCTTCATTGCCGCTGAACTTATGCTTATTGCAGCTCCACTAAAGCGGCTGCGATTGATTGATGAACCTATAAACAGTTAGTAAGCCGAGGGCTCCCATATCAGCTCTAATGAAGTTATGAAACAATTATTTTGTGGGGTGGTGCATATTAAGCAGTCTACTTTAGAAGATAACAAATTTCATTCGAGCATTTTCGAAACCCCAAGCACGCCATACCCAACCCAACCTTAAACTTCTTTCAAAGAAGTCATCAGCGTCATCTCCACAGACCCCTGCAACCAGTGGCGAATGTACATCACTGCCAAATTACTCTTTGTCCATCACAGCTCCTCTCAGCCATGTACTGCACGCTTCATTAGATACCCTTTCGCTGTTCACGCCAACTGCGCTTCCGGTCCGCGTGTGCCAGAAAAGAAAAATAATTAAAGAAAAGTAAGAAAGAAAAGAAGACCCAAATTCATATTCACCACCGCAACCGATGAACCGATCAACCAAGCAGCGAAGCAGCGAAGCAAACAACAAACACTTAAAGTGGCATAAATAAATAATTGTGTTGTTGTAGGTACTTTTTTGAGTAGCATTTTGGCAGCTAATGAAAATTTCTACGAAATCTCACATTTCCATATGTCGAGTGGCTCTCCGCCACGGCTGCACATCTGCGTGTGGCGGTTGCGTCTTCTCTTTGTGCGTAATTAACCGAAAACCAAGATAAATGATCTTGCAATGCGTGCGCCTGGCCGATCAGACCAACCCAGACGCAGTGCCGCACCTTGCTTCCTCAACTTACTTCTTGTTATTGTTGTAGCTTTTTTCGGTGTTGCTATTGTTTTTGTCGTGTGGCAGCATGTTTTTTGGGGCACGTGTGCCAAGTAAAGCGAAACAATTTCTTGTTTCCCTTTGAAACGGACACGAGTTTTCAGCAACGCGTTGAGTTCTACTTTTATGGTTGGATGCATTTTTGGATCAGTCCAAAAAGAAGGTGAGGAAATTTGAAGTAATAAAATAAAATCTGCGTGAAGAACATAACATACTCATACAATTACATGCCTAAATGATCCAATTTAAATTTTGGTATTAAATTGTTGGAAGCGAAGGTGAGTGCACGTCCATGGAATTGGAACTGAAACCAAATTGATCTTGTTGTAGTTGACACTGCCTTCGATTAAAGGGAATTAAGAGTACTCGCCATGTGTCTGAATGGACAGACTGACCGCACTAGGTAGATCAATATCCAAAGTTTTAGGAAAATAATTTTAAATTGCGGTAGCCCCTCGGCTGGAAATGTCTACCTCTCAGAGCATATTTCTAAATAAAATCTCGTACTAAAATTCATCAGCCGTTCAGACGCGTCTTAGAATAACCTAAAGGTTCCTACATTATTTAAAGCACTAAGACAAATTGGACTAAGAGTTCGGATGAAAAATGCTTCGACGAATTATAAAGAGCTCACAGATATCCTGTATTAAAGAGGAAAGCAAGAGGCATGTGCGTAGAAAAAAAATAAAGCTGTCGTGCTGCGTGAGTATTCAGAGCTTTGAGAAGCTGGCCAAAAAGGGTTATATTTCTAAAAGAAAAGACGGCTAAAGAAGATTTCAAGGGCTCGCGGAACAATCTTTGTAGGACAGATACAGAGATGTGTTCTAGTGACTGAACCTAGAGTGTACTGAATTTGAAAGGGAACACTTTTCCAGCCTGCTGAACGGCACTGAAAATATAACACCGAGTTCCCAATCGATGACGATGGAATAAATATTTCATTGCCTGATTGTGAAGAAGCTCGAAAAGCAATTGCTCGCTTGAAAAACAACAAAGTGGCGGGCCAATGGCTTGCCGTCGGAAATATTCAAATACGGCAGTGAAGAAATGATAAGGTGCATGCACAAGCTTCTTTGCAGAAAATGTTTGGACGAAAGCATGCCTGACGATTTGAACCTAAGTGTGCTCTGCCCAGTCCACAAAAAAGACAGACTGTGGGATCGTCTGCGTCAATTACCATGGAATAAGCCTTCTTAACATCGCATATACAGTCCTATCGAGCGTATTGTGTGAAATACTGAAACCCACCATCAACAAACTGTTTGGACGTCAGCAGTGTGACTTTAGACCTGTTATGTCAACCATTGACCAGATGTTCACCAAGCGCCAAATCTTGGAAAATATCCATAAAAAAGAATTGACACACAACACCACTTCGTTTATTTTAAGGCAACCTTCGACAGCCCGATAAGGTGCTGCCTCTATGCCGCTATGTCTGAATTTGGTATCCACGCAAAACTTATGCGGCTGTGTAAGCTGACCTTAAGCAGCACTAAAAGCTCTGTTAGGATCGGGAAGGACTTCTCCGAGGCGTTTGATACCAAACTATGCTGTCGACAAGGT